GGAACAAATTTTTGGCTTAACCATAAATATTGCAATCTGTTTCCTGTTCTTTGACGATTAATAAGTATTAAATTATTTTTATTTGAAAAAAATTGTTTTCTTCAGTGGTACAAAAAAGGAGAGAGGAAAAAAACTGGGCTTAAATTGAGGTAAAAATAAAGCAAAAACTTACTCGTTTAGTTTGAGGAAAAAAAAGTAAAGAAGTCAGTAAAAGTTAGTTGAAAACTTTATTTCACAGTTGCGCTCAGAATTAAAAGCAGTCTTTGTTTCGTTTTTTTCTCCATTGCCAAACAAACGTTGATGGACAAACTCAGGAGCTCCTCCTGTAGGGTTGTACCTGGGAAGTTTTAGACGTCAGACAAACTATTGTACCTTAAAAACAAATGCTTTAAAACAAATGCAGTACCTCGAAAAAAAAAAAAAACTATGAAACTATTTTAGTCAAAGTGTGTGGTTGTTCAATGATTGCTGAAAAGTAATTTCACTCTACTAGATATGTCGATGAGGTGCCATTAAAATTGAAATCTGTGCTGTAACCAAACCATTGTACAAATTTTTTTTTTCTTCTATTTTGAAGCAAAAGAAAAAAGAATGTACGAATGCAAAATTAGGCCATAAGGTTAGAAAAAAAAGGACCGAAGCACAAAACTCGTTTTCATCAACAGTTCGAATGGCACAGTATCAGTTGATGATTTTCTAAGGGATGTTTTATTGATGTAGAAAAAAAGTGGTAACTAAAAATTAAAAAATTCTTAATTATTTCATCTTATTAAGCAGTTTACCGTAATCTTTCTATATTTTTATAATTATTGCTTGAATTTTTTCTTCTTTTCAATTTTTATATTGCTTTTACCTTGTTTACCACAATATTGCTGAGAAATTTTTAACTTTTTTTTTTATTAATTACAGTATGGGAACAGTTGCAAAGATAGATTTACTCTTATTCAACATTATTACAAGTTTTTTTTAACGAAAACAAAGGTAAAAAATCTTCAACAGAGATCTTTTCATTTTTGATATTTTTATGGAACAAACTTAGCACTTTAGATGGTCTTACTTACACGACTTTAATTTAGTTTCAGGATAAATATGAATACAATTTTCGTTTCTTTTGAAAAAAATTATAAACAGTAAAGAATATCTGAGCAGTCACTGAAATCGTTGGTAATATTTGCAATTATAATACTACAAATGGTTACAAATGAAAAAAGAAAAAGAAAAAAGGAGGAAATTTTCTTTCTTTTTTCTTATTCAACAATGATAATAATAGCAAAGCAATAAGTTGACAAGTCAGTGGGAATGTGTCTTTTGAAGTTATAAACGATAGCGACGAAACGACGACAACCACGACGGCGGCGACACGAACAACGACGGTGGTGACAACGCAGACGAGTTGTTTGCTTATTTCCGAATAAGTTGAGGCCTACGAAATAATAAAGCTTGACCCGATCATGCACGGCAAAAAGCACCTTTTTATAGCTTAAAACCATTTTTACAAAGCAGCTTACCGCAAATTTTCCGTTTAGTCATCAGATTTTTTATGAGTTTGATCGTAAAGGATTATCAAAACTCGTTAATTTTGACCTACAGTTCTTTAGGTTCAAAGCCTTTCTTTTCTTTCTTCTTCTTTCTTTTACCTCTTCTGCACTGTCGAATCAGCAACATTGTTATGAGTCATTAAGTGATAGTTTTTAGCAATCACTATTTTTCATCGTCATCGAAAAAGAGCAAAACGAAGAAAGAAAAAGAAAAGAGTTGGTAGAACAAATTTCCTTTATTTTTTCCTGATAGTATTCACTGTATATCACTGCTGCAACAATTATCGATGTTTGATTAGGAAAAAAACAGCTATTAAGATAAGGCAAATTTTTTAGCTTTACAGTTAACTTTATTACTGTCATTACTGCTACTTCTTTTTTTTTCTAGTTTAAGAATCTAAAAAGCGA